AAGTTGTACACACAGGGACCTGTAGCAAAGCAACTTATGAGCCTGTCAATTGCAAACAACAGAAGAGATTTAAGACCAATATTTATTACAGGACAGGTTCAGAGAAAGGTTTCTAATATATTTAGATGAACAAAGGATCTCACAGCTTCCAGCTTCAAAGTGCAATGTATAAGCAATTAGTTTATACCCAAATGGTTTGTCAAAAGTATATTCATGTTTGCACCAGAGTTATCTCTAGTTCTGCAACACCCATCACAGGTTATGGTTCTCAATTTAAGATGATCTATATACAAAAAACTAACATGCACTGCTGAAGTACATTTTCTGTCTGTTTGTATCTTTTCCCCTCCTCCCAGTTTTCTTATTCCTTAGTGGGGATTAGCAAATAAAGCTCTTAGGTTATCACACTTCCACTCGTTTTTTTGTTATTTATAATCCAGAAGTAACCTGTTATAATGGAAATTTCCAGACATTATTTCCTCTATTAAAATCAGTCCGCATTATGTTTCATTACCCTGGTTTTGCTAATGCAAAATACTTGGGTAGTTAAGAGCACTGCTGATGGTAGAGATAATCATTTTGCACAAAATTAATCTTGAGGGTCCTCAGAGTACTGCAAATTTACCAGAGAGAACGCCTATTCTATTACGCTTAATTTAAACACTTAAGAGACATAGAAAAATTTTGCTTCTGACATGTATTTTAAGTTTGGCATCTTCCCAGAAATTACAGTAAATCACACAAGCAATATTTTCAAGCAAAGGTAACGGCAGAAAGTATAACAATCCACATATTTTATAGCTTTGTAGCCATTTGGAGATCATATGGATATTAACTGGACAGTGCAAAAGTAAAACAGCCTTTAGAAATGTTTCTTTTCAGAAAGTAGTAGTTTTCATGGAATCACAGAACAGTTCCTGAGATCATCTTTTCCAAAACTCCCTGCTTAAGGAGGAGTTTAAGTCTTTCTTTTTCATTCCTCATCTTTTTTTTTTTTTTTTTTTTCTTTCCTCCCAGCACTCAAACTCAGTTTGGGCTTCTTTGAAGGGATCTAGTAATCTAATGTGTCTGTGTTATGATCCCTAGGTTCCAGCCATCACCGTAGGCAAAGCCAACTATATAGGTATATGAAAGACTACCTGTTTCAGAGGAGACATTTGTTTAAAGTAAAGCATACTTAAACCACCAAAAGCAGAGGTACTTGCACCCTGTCATTCCTACAGTTACTGATATTGCTGATGTATGAAACTCCTGGGTAGACATCTTCTGTATTCCATCAGTACCAGGTTGTAATCATTCTGCTCCAGAACACAGATACTACTAGAAAGACATAATATAGATCCTGCTCTTTTGCTACTGGCAACACTCCGTAACTTGACCTAGGCTTTTTTCAAGGAGATAATACTGAGAAATTCAACCACCATTTAAAAACCTCAAAATTATTTGAGCCACCCAACTCCTGTTGTAAATGCAATAGGATGTTTCTTCCTTAACATGCAGTGCAGTTAGAGTCTTTTCTCTCTGTCATTTATTCCTATTTTCCTTTGTTATTCTCCAAATTGTTAGAATACACATGTATATCACTTCAGGATTGAGCTAGCGGTGCTACAGTTTTTAAACTTTCACCCTTGCTGTTGTAGCTGAGCATGTTCCATATTAAAATGAAGCCACTAATTTGAAAATGCAACTTCTGCTTTCAGTTAAAAACATGAGCCCCTACTTCCATAGCAGTTCCAGAATTCTTATCACTTTTATAAAGCTTTTAAACATTAACTGCATTAACTAATTAATTTGACATTAGCTAAGTAATCTACTGACCAAAGAGAGAGAAACAGGCACTGGGAAATGATTCGTTTGGAGGTTAAATTAATTAAAAATAGTACAGTAGTGACGGAATTTAATCTCAGGCTTCTCATGAGAGTGGAATCACTCACAGCTGCAGCAATTTGTGATAAATCCATGGAGAAATTTCATGATGGGAGTGGAATTAATTTGTGTCACCCCTAAGAGTATATGTGCTCACTCAACAGTACCTACGTTAAACAATATTAAAAATACACAAATTGAGCAAACCAAAATAATCTATCATTTCAGGTAGCGCATGATATATGCCCTTCAATATCAAGCTGCAGTTATTTGCATCAGTAAAATTCAGGGGAGCACAACAGTGACTTAGAGAACCAGAACATTCTTTATTATTATATTCTACTTTTATCAGGATTGCTTTTAATTCAACAACTTGATGTTAGTACAACTATCTGTATGTGGATGAGCAGAGAGACAGAATTGGGGACGTGTAGAAAGAAACAGGCTACTTAATACCACAAATACAATTACTAAGTAGGAGAGCTGTAGATAGTTATCCAACTCAACAACAAAGTTGTCCATTTGAAGATCATCCCTAGTACCTAAGTATACCACACAATATGTAACAGAGCATATGAGCTATACACATTTTCATTCAGAGCTATTTTTGACATTTTTGATGCTGATGAATGAAAAAGTCAGTTATTTTCTGAGAAGCTTTTAAATTAACAAACAGATTGTCCTTCCATATGAGTTTAATTATCTCATTACACACTCTTATGAATTCACAAGCCTAAAAGAAGACAGATCTCTGGACCTGAATAAAGAGAAGAACAACTGGATTCATAAGCAAAATCAGTGGGAAAAGAAACATCAGAAAGAAGCTTCAGAAGATGGAAATAAGAGATATTCCAACAATTAGGAGTGAGGCTTCTGCAGTAGCTCCACTCAACTTTTTTTTGGAGATTAATGCAAGAGGTCCTGAATACATGAACCTCCTTACAGGTTCTACCTATCCAAATACATGAGTTGTTTTGAATGGATGGTGGAAGATAAAAAAAAAATAACTTGAAAGACTCCTACTTCTTCACCTCTTAACAACACAAGGTTGATGACAGAACACGTTAAACCTTAGAGGCATATTATAATAGAGCATACCTACAACTGAAAACCAGAGATGGTTTTGCAGCTTACAAATATATAATCTACATGGCTTCAAATCTTCTAATGCAAGTCCCAGTGACGATGTAGTTGTGGCAGCAGAGGTTCTAGCATGAACTGTACAGTTTTGCCCAGAAGCTCAGGTAAATACTCACATTAAGCAAACCATCTGTAGGAGGGAGATAATATTCTGTCTTGCTTTTGGTATTAATGGCAGGGTGTGTTGTATGTGTGAGCAGAAATTAGCACTAGAGCTTATGGCAACAGCCACATTCACTAGGTGGTACTGTCAGACAAATAATAGCAATGCTAATAACTGGAAAGAACTATTAAGATGAATCAATATAAAAAGAAATTACAATCATATGTAAAACATTTTTGTCTATTCATTGAAAAATTACGAACTGCAGAATACAATGCAGCTAAATTGTTATTGATTTGCACTGAGATTTTTTCCACCTTTCTTGACAGCATTTCTAGAATTTTTATCTAACTATATATTATGGCTCATAGTGAAGATGAATTCTATTATAAATTCTGCACATCTGCTGAGATATGCCATTCTGAAATTAACTGTCCTGAAACCCACATTTGGAGCACATGAAAGACATTCAGTTTCCCAATATTAGCTCCTCTTACATCAATACTTAAATTTAAGTTAGTTTGCATTCTTCTTCACAGAGCAAAACTCTTTCCTCTTTCTCTTTCCTCTGAGGTCACAAGAAATCAAGACTAGTATGTTTAAACAGTTGCTCAAAGAGGAAGCCGCTCACTTGAGAAGACTAACATTTAAGTGGCTGAATAAATCAATGACTTACATTCTAAATGAACATGTAATACAATCAAGGCTTTTGATATTCATATCTTGAAAATTCAATGACTAAATCTGTTTTATTACTGATAGCATCATCCCCCTCAACTTTTTTTTTTTTTAAATAAGCAATTTAAATCTGTTTTAACAAGGTTTTTGGTACGTAGATTTCTAACATCTAGTATAGACCTGTATAGGCATAGCTATTCAAGAACCTCAAGTACTGAAACGATACAGGGGCAGGCTGTCATCTCTGAAAATGATAACACCAACATGGATTGCAAGTGTAAGCACTGCTTCAGTTATAGTAACAAAGAGAATCTGGTGAATGTTCCATGTGCTCAGATACGATGCAGACATCAAGCACTATTATTTGTTTCAAACAAAATTCATTCTGGGATGTAAAAGCTCTCAGTTATTTCTTTTCCTATGCTGCTGTAGATGACTACTTATGAAGATTTTTGTATTTGTCACACAGCCACCATATTTAGCTCTACACTATCTATTGTCAGAACTAGTATCACTAGATCTCTGCTGAGACATAAGCATCAAAACTATTAATTTTGGTGAGGAACATAACGTTTAAATTTCTCAAAAAGGCAAAGCACTTTCTGATTAGCCTCCTTCCATCCTCATCATTAACCTGCAAAGGACTTTTTTTTTTTAATCTGATTCTTGATGCTCAAGGTGAAGAGTATCTACTACATTGAAGATGCTCCTAAATTAACTTTCCTGGCACAAATTAGAAACTTTGACATTTAAAAAGAATTTTAATAGGGTAATAAACTCAGAAAATTTCATAACTCTATACAAGATATGAGACATGTCTGACCTACTAGCAGCTTACACAATGAAAACCATCGTTAAACTCTCGTGAAACAGCAAACCAAGATATATTTTAGAGTTATTTATTTGAGTGATAAAGACAAAAACAAAGAAAGATAATATAGCCTACTTTTATCACTTTCCTCATAAGAACGTCATAAATACTTCACAAAACTGTGGAATTTGAATTGTACTCAGAGAGGTACTGCAGAGTGCAGTATTTGATATCTATCTTAAACAACACATACCCAAAGAGTTTTTAAAATATTTTCAGTCTTAAAAAAAAAAAAAAAAAGTTGTCTGTTTGTTTTCATTCAGAGTAAAATCTGAAAGTTGAAATCCATCAGGTTAAGCGCTCGGAAACCAGAAAGTAAATAGCTCAATGGTCAAAACTTACATATTTCCTTTTAACAATTCCTCGTGGCTTGACTTCTCACCACGTGTTATTTGAGTAAGTAACCTGCAATACACAAAACACCATACTCAGTACTTCTTGGCAAGCAATACAATACAAAGCTTTAACATTTACTTTCAAAGAACAGGTATGATTTGATATTCCATTAAATGATGCTTTGAAGAAAATAAAATTGCAATTCCATTTTTAGTTCATCTTTTCCCTCAATTACTTGCTATAACCAACAGTTTTAAAACTAGCTGACATCCCTGTTGTCTAGCATAGGACTTCTACACCCCCATTCTGCCATAAGCATTAGGTTGCTTCACTTCCATTGCTACACACTGGGAGAGGAAGAAGATTCCTGAAACTACTTGAAGAGAATCTCTGCAGTACTCACATGAGACAGGTTGGTAGAAACATACTGATTTTGAAAATTAAATTAATTTGCTGCTTTACTAAATCTGGATACAAGTAACAGTCATAGTCATAGTTTTAAAACAGCTAGTTTTAATGGAACACTATCTGTGTAACCAAATGGACTTTATTACACTGAAAGATGGAAAGGGGAGGGAAAGTAAAGGAATTAAAATTATTAGAAGGCTAAGATGTTCTCTACATGACCAGAACAGGCCTTCATTACTAACAGGTAAAAAGCTCAAAGCAACCGCGCACACTAATTATGTAAATTTGACTCCATATCTTGTCCAGAAAGCCTATTAATTTAACATTACCACTGCTACCCAAGGAAGGGAGACAAGCATTCAGTGCATGGTGCACACTGTATTTAACAATAAAAATTAGAAGGACAAGCTTTCCTTTATAAAAATGATTCAGTACTGTTTTAAACTGATTTACTCTGTATGCCTTCATCTGTATTAAGGAAAACACATGAGGTATTTACACCTGATGGTTACAGTGAAAGATACACAACATACAGTTGTATGCATCGTCCTTCTTACTGTAAGAATTGAGCAAAACTGGAACTGTACTGCATCTCCACACTTCATTACTTTACCTCTCACTCATCATATTAAGAGATCACTTTATTGATGTTTTATAATCAATGTTTGCAGCTTTTTTTTCTTAACGCTAACAAAGAATAAGATATAATAAAAAACTACTTTAGAACAAGGCAGATAGGCTTTGCCTGCAATTAAACACCTTCTGTTAATCCAACGAATATCTAGTAGGAAGCAGAGAAATACTAAGGAGAGCTGCTGCTTAGTTTGAATGTGAAAGCAGACAGAACAATGGAAATTAATACAGATATCAGTGCAACAAAAATAAACACATCTTGCAGGATCAGAGCCTTTCTCAAATTTTACATTGTAAAAGTAATATGTTTTTAAAGAAAAGTTATTTCTCAGTTTTTCATCTTTAACACTGCTAAGATATCAACAGCAGTGGCAGTGCAGTGCAGCTGTTTCTTCTTCATTTGATCACAAAGCAGAACAATATGAATATAGGCACACATTCGAACAAATACTGAAAAGCAGGACAGATTCTCTCAATTCTTGTGCACCTTGGAAGCTGATTCTAAGCAAAGGCTGCAAATTTAAACAGCCAAAAAGCAGTAGTGAAAATGGCACATGTCCTGCTGCACCAAACAATGATAATGACACAAGGGGCAGAACATTGTAACTACACTTGTGTAAAGTCTTGGGCAAACGAGGATTCAAAAATTAGGATTACAATATGCTCCATGCAGAAAGGAAACAAGCTATTTATTCTTAAAATGAAGAAACAGATAAACCCTTAAGGTTTAAGGTTCAGTATACAAAATTCTGTATACTTAGTTAAGAAAATGAAATTTGAGTTTTTATATTCATAGATGTTAAACTAGGAAAGAAACACAGCATAACTCCTGAAATTTTTCCTGCTCAATTTATCAGTTTGAATACAAAAGCAGCACACATACACAGTCTACAAGACCTGTCTCTTTTTTTGAGTTATCCATGTAGAGTGTGAGTTTAACTTGGTATTTCAGTTGGTTATTGCTAAATACCATGCTTATGGGGAAAAACAAAACAAACAAAAACTCTAGATTTTCTTAACTGTCAACTTTTTTTTCTATAATTGTTTTCTATGCTCTTTGAAAACAGTTTCTTAATAAGAAGACCTGTCATTCTGGCCAAAATTTGCCTTTGGGGACTGCACTTGCTATGTCAGATTCTTGATAAGCATGGAACAATACAGCATACCTCAGCTGAGACTGCAAAAGGCAGATGAGAAGCTTAATGGAAGCACTGAAATAATATAATTGCTACAGACAAGCAGCAGCATTAGCAAACCTGAAGCTTAATATGTGATATTAAGAGTTCTAAGACAACTAACAAGCTAACAAGATTCAGACAAATTTCAATATCAGTAATTCAGTAGGTGTAGATTCATTTAATGGGAACCACTCCAAAGCATAATGGCAGCATGGCAGAAATCACAAAAGATGCTTACCAGTAAATTTAATTTTATACAGTAGCATAAGTTTCAGTAAAACTAGTGAATGTAAAAGCTGAGCTGACAATCAGGACCAATATAGGTATGATTATGTATCTTTGTATAGAACAACTTGAAGCCCAGGAGTGTAAAGAAGCCATAGCAAAAACATCACAGCAGTTTCCTGGGGACATTAGTAGGTGCGTATAATATGGTTGGTATTTATTGAGTCATGTTCAAAATTACATTTCAATGAAACAAAAGCACACGCTGATGAAGCAGGAGCAAAACCCAAGAACATAATCAAAATAAGTGCAGGAAGGAGCATTCTTAGAGCAGTTAATTGACAAGGTTTCAAGTCAGGAGGTGACTGGAGAGGACTGCTTGCAGCTGAGTGCATTCCTAGTGCATTAAGGGAAATGCATTTCTTTAGCCATACAAATACATAGATTCACTCATAATAATTTGAACATCCATTTCTTTCAATAACTTCTGGACTAGGTAATTAGTTAGGTTAAAAGAAGAATATTAAGCACACGCAGGATAGAAGTTGGCATCATCATAGACATTTGCATCTCAGCAGAAAGCTGTATAGAGGAAGTTCATATAGCAAACATCTTACTCCTATGGTTGCTTGCCCTCTGATCCACAGTGCACTCTCCTGACATGCTCCTGGACTTAAACTATGAGAACTCCACAACAACAGCAATTCTACGTAATCAGAGATGGACTCATGAGTAGCATTTGAAAACATGATCCCTGTTAAGACAGTATTATCTAATACTCCTATGCATTACCTTAATTTGTTCTAGATCAAAAGCCACATGAAATAACACAAAATTTCTGTAAAATGTCAAAATTAACAAACTTCCTTCCTTCTTTCTCTGACTAAAGTTTTTTAAAAATTTGCTACAAACCTATTGATGGACTCAGTACACAATATTAATTTTCCTTTCTCTTCTCCATTCAGTACTAATAAAAACTTTAATTTCACCCAAATCCCACTGCAAAAATATTCAAGAATATCTCTTTGGCCAGTCTGCTCCTCCATGTCTTTGAGATTGGAAGCAGTAATATCTTGATTGTAGGAATTCTCCTTTAGGTATAGACCGAGTGTGGCAGCTCTTGCCTTTTTTTCTTTTTTTTTTTTTCCATTTCTCTTTTCATAACAGCACACCACCTACTCACAGATATTTTTCCATTATTCCAAGTGGAGCTTTTCTTACTGTCCTCTTTTCCTTTTAGAACAACAATGAATTAACAGCCTGTCAGAAAGATTTGATGGTCAGAGACCAACAATGACACAAAGATAAAAATAACAGAAGCGAAGATTATATAGGAATCATAGCAGACAAGCAAGGAAACTTTAGGGCATGGAGATGCGGAGAAGGGGCAGCAGAAGGATGAGGTCAAGAAACAACTGAAATGCAAGGACAAAGATCATAGAAGAAAAAAGCATAATAAGAATATGACTAACTTCTGGAGCAACAGCCCTTTTTATATGATGACAAGCCACGTAAACTCAGATCCTGCTTATTTTGTGATTGCAGGCACCTAGCAGACTTATTTTTTGTTGGTGGCTTTTTTTTTAATGTCAGTGAAAGAAAGCATCTCACCAGAGACTTTACAGAAAACTTCTCTTTCAAAAATAAAACATGCATTCAGAGCTTTCCAATGGCTGATACAGAATAAATTGTTCATCATCAAACATGGTTCTCTGCATTAGAACAACTAACACTCCCTAGAATTTAATAATAAAAACTTTTCTTTTCTTTACATTGCAAGATTACAGAATGGAGTAGGCAGAAAAAGCACCAACATTAAGTGATCTCCATTTAACTGATCGGTCCATGGTTGTTACAAGTTAGCCTGGTTTTCTTACCTGAAAGGAGCAAAGAGTATTGGTTATCATGGACAAGTAATAGTGCAGTATAATTGCACTCTGGGGATTCTAAAGCTTTTAGAGATGTTATAATTATTTGAAAAATTTCCAGTAAGCACTAAATATCCAAAACAGCACCTGTACTCAGCTAAGTTGAACGAGCTGTGCACCACTTCTGAGAGTTAAATCATTTAATAAAAGATTATGCAAAGTTCACTGAAAAAGCCACACTAGAGACCAAAGATCCAGAGACCTTTTATACTTTTACAAAGTATTAATTTGGTACACATGAAGTTGAGAAAATGGGTTAGAAAGAAGATGCAGATGGTTTTCTCAATTGGGAAAATAAGTTTGTGTTAAATTTTTACTGAAGGAATTAGGCTTTAATGGCTAACTTATATAATATTCTACAAATTGACAGCAGAGTCTGGCAAAAAGAGCATAATAATGAAGGATTTAACACCATCATTTTGCTAATTGAAAGGACCTGACCTCATCAGGATCATGCACTGCAAGTGAGAACGATAACACTGCAAATTATCACTGCTTCGCAGATGTCAGCATCTCCTACTTGTAAAGAGAATGGGACTAAGCACATTAAATTCTACTGATTAAAATTTAGTTTTTTTCCCACCAATATATATAGTGTTTTAGAAGCTTTAGAACCAGGTGGGGATAAGTAAGGTAAGGCAAAATGCTGGTGTGTGCAGTCTTTTCCTTCAGAATTAAACTCCTCAGCACAAATAAT